CGGCCCGCCGCGCCCTGGAAGGCCTGGCACCCAGCCCTGGCCCCGCATTGCGGGCGGGTCCCCGAAGCAGAAGCCCGTGTAGAAGGCTGGACGCCCCTGTCTGCGTCCGGGCAGCGGCCCCGCAGAGCGCCTGGGGCTGAAGGCAAAGGCTGGAGGACCGGGCCGCGGAAGGCGTTCCCACACCCGACAGCCTCCGTCCACCAGGAAGCCGACTCTCCGTACCTCCCCCGGGACCGAAAACCGCCGGTGCCGCCGCACCCGTCGCTGCCGCCGCTGGCTCATGGAGAGCCCGGGCTGCCGTCGCTGCCGCCGTCGACTCATGTACTAGAACCGCCGGCTGTCTCGGCCTCCCCCGGCGTGAGTGCTGGGCTCCGGCATGGCCTCCATCGCACCCGCCGCGGCGTGAGCCACAGCAGCTCCGGCGCCCAGGCCCGACCCGACCGGACCCACGGAGCCAGGACCGCGGGACGCGTTGCTTATTACGGAGGAAGATTCTGCCTGACCTCCGCCTCCCTCCCCCCAGCCCCTAGTTCCCAGCTGCCTGACGGTACTGCTGCGCAGGCGCAAAGACGCCCCCATCAAACGTGCGTGTCGGGTGTGTACATAGCCTTCAGCTTTGTCCAATGGGAACCAACATCAGGTGCGAGGGGCGGGACTTCGCAGAGAGGGGCGGGGTTCCGGTGTTGGGGGGGTGGAGCAGCCAAAGTGGGCAGGGTTTGCCCGGAGGCGGAGCTTAGTTGGCAGACAACCCGTTTGGGTTTTTGAGGTTTGCATCATTTTTGGACCTTACTTGATTTGAGTTTGATTCTGGGTCTTGTCATCTCAAATTCTTAATTTAGAAGGGGAAAGCTTTGTTTTCTCAGTAAGTTATAATTATTCAAGCTTTTGATTTAAGTATATATTTAGGAAAATTTTGAATTAGTGTATTAAATGCTGTCTTTAGTGTTGAAGGTAATGCTTGGCCAAAATGCTGTAATTTATAATGGAAGTTAACACCATTTAAAGAAATTAGATAGCTTTAACACACTGTAGAGGTGAAAATTTTATGTTTTGGGTATGATAAGGCCCCACACATTAAGTGTCAGCCGGAAATTTAAGCTAGAGTTGCTTAATGCTAGAATCTGTGGGCTCAACCATAATTCCTGTTCAGTAGACCCTAGTCCTTGTTTCCTCTCTTAAAGAATCAAAGCCCGCATGGTTCTGCTCCTGTAGAACACAGGTCACCCTGAAAAACTACCTCCACCGGCAATTAGAAGTAGGCTAATGTTGAGATTTTCCCCATCTAGTCGTTCGACGGATAATGATTGTCTGGAGAGTGAAGCTCAGCCTCTAGAATACACAATTTGGAGGGCTCAGCGTCAGCCCAGCACATCACTGTAGTCCTTAGTCAGGGCTGAGTCTGCTGGAGGTTAGATGCCTTATTGGCTAATGTGATGGTCAGCTAGACTATGGACCTCATGGACCTTTCTCAAGAAGTCTAGTGATGAAAGGATGGAGGCTGGGAGATAAGCTTGACTTACTGAAGATAATACTGCTGGTGGAGATGGGAAGAAACGGCTCTCTCTCAGAGCAGAGGGGGAAGAAAGATGGCTCTGTCCCCACAAAAGGAATTAACTGTCAAAGTCTGCTCTTACCTGCTTTTTCTTATTATGGTATTTCACAAATGAGGAAACTGAGGCTCTGAGAGATTAAATAATTAGTATGCATTGGAGTTCACATACAAAAAAGTTCACTCTTAATATTAAAACCATTCTGCAGGTAGAAAGTCCTTGAAAATGTTTATAAATTGGATTATTTGTTTAATTGACAACCTCTCATAAAACATGGAATTCATCTTATATTGATTGAGTCATTCTCTTCCAGAAAATAGACCCAATAGTGGTGATTGTCACCATTTCTGGAGAATAGCAGGGAGATGGCTCATTAAACTCAGCTGAGGCTTGGCTAGGGAGGGGAAGCATGGATTCCTTGCGTACTTGGGTAATTTACAAACCTCACTGAGGTCTTTACCCTACATTTTCATTCTGCTTCCTTTTTGCCCCCCTCAAAGTCTGACAGCTGAGTTGCAGTTTTTTATTTTTTTTAAGACAGATTTTTTGAGGTATAATTGACAAATATATGGAGCTTATTTAAAGTATATAATTTGATAAGTTTTGACATATGTATACCCCCTTGAAACCATCACTACAATCAAGTGAATATATCCATCATCCCCAAGTTTTCTTATGTCCCTTTGTAATTTTTTTCTCTCATCCCTCTTTGCTTCCCACACTTAAGCATACTTGTGATGTGTTCCAGTTATGCATATTTGCATAACAAATCAATCCTAAACTTAGTGGCTTAAAAGAGCAAATTTATTTTGCTTATGAATTTGCAATTTGCCCAAAGCTTTGCTGGAATAATTTGAAGGCTGGGGGCTGGGATAATCTGAAGGCTCCTTCGCTTACATGTTTGGCTGTTGATGCTACCTGCTGACTGGACCTTAGCTTCAACTGTGACCAGAGTGCATTTATGTGATTCCTTGACTTTCTTGTAGCATGGTGGTTGGGCACCAAGGGTGAGCATCCCAAGATGAACCAGGTAGAAGCTCTAGTGCCTTTTCTAACCTGGCATTGCAAGTCATGCAGTGTCAGTTCCAGTGCATTCTGTATAATGGAGGTGAAGAAATTGCAGTATTCAAGGGGGAAGGAATTGGACTTTACCTTCTGATGGGAGGAGTGTCCGAGGATCTGTGGATATGTTTGTAAATCACCACACTTATCTAACCAGCATCCTGACCAAGAAGCAGAACATTACCAATGCCCCAACCTCACCTTCCTGTCTTTACCTCCTGCCCCAAGGGTAACCACTATTCTGATAGCATAGATTAATATTGCCTATTTTTGTACTTTATGGAAATGGAATCATACAATATGTACCTTTTGTGTCTAGCTTTTTTCTCTCAGCATTGGTTATGAGATTCACTTATGTTGTCCCATGTAGATTGTTCTTATTACTGTTTAGTATTCTATTTTGTAAATAGCACATAATGATTTTTGTCCTATTTATTGTTGATAGGCATTTGGGCAGTTTCGAGTTTTTGCCTGATATAAGTTCTCATTTGAAATTCTAGTACATGTGTTATGTCCCTTATGTATGTTGAGAATATGTGTAGGAGTGAAATTATTCGGTTTAGGGTATGCATATGTTAAAGTTGAGTAATACTGTCAAACAGTTTTCCAAACTGTGCCACTGGCAGTGGTAATTTTGAACCTGATTTCTTAATCTTAGGTTTTATGCTTGAAAAGACTACACAAAATCCTCTTCAACATGTATTAATAACGTGCTCCTCAGATTCTGGATAGTTACCAATGACAGATGAGGCTGGGCTTAGCTGTCTCTCTTGACCAGAATGTGGCTTCTCCAGCATGGTGTCTTCTCACATAATGGCTCAGGTCTGTAAGAGCAAGTGTGTCAGTGAAGCAAGGCAAATTTTGTATGGCCTTTTATGACCTAACCTCAGAATTCTAGGCCAGTTTTTGTATACATAAGTATGTGATGCCAAATACTAGAAGAGAATTCACTGCTTTTCTTCAGTTCACAGAATTGTTATTAAACAGAATTTAGATAATTTGATTTTTAAAAATTGTACTCTAAATCTAGTAGCTCTTTCACTGACAAGTGTTAAGGTTGAAATTCTTTGTAATAATGAAAGTGGGTTTACAATCAATTAAAATTTTTCATATCAAGTACTTAATAATAATGTTTTTCTTTAAACATATAAGGATGTTGATCTATTTAGATTTTTTAAAAAATTATAATAGTGTATTTCTTTGAATTTGAATAATATATATATCAATTTAAATTCCTGTTATTTTTCTTGTCTGTTAACTTTGTGACTTTGTTTCTCCCTCTGTAAATTGAGGACAATGATAATACCTACTCACAGTATCAATATGAAAATTTAAAAACATAATATCTATAATTACATAGCACAGGGCCAGGTAAAATCTTAAAAATGCTACTATCATTATTGTTATCAGTAAGAAAAATCTTTTTTTAAAATTTTATTTTTGTTTAAAATATTACAGATGTCCCTTTTTCTCCCCAATGACCCGTTCCACCCCGACCCATCCCCCTCCCCAGTCCCTCTCCCCACCATTGTCCGTGTCCTTGGGTTGTGCATATATGCATATAAATTCTTTGGTTACTCTCTCCCCCTCCACCCACCCGCCCTCCTCCATCCCTCTGACATTCATCAGTCTCATCTATGCTTCCATGTCATTGAATCTATTCTGTTCATCAGTTTATTAAGTTCTTTAGATTCCACGTATAAGCGAGATCATGTGATATTTGTCTTTCGCTGCCTGGCTTATTTCACTTAGCATAATATTCTCCAGGTCCATCCATACTGTCCCAAAGGGTACGAGATTCTTCTTCTTTACAGCTGCGTAGTATTCCATGGTGTAAATGTCCCACAGCTTTTTTATCCACTCATCTACTGATGGGCACTTGGGCTGTTTCCAGATCTTAGCTATTGTAAACTGTGCTGCTATGAACATCGGGGTACATATATCCTTTCTGATGAATGTTTCAGGATTCTTAGGATACATTCCTAGGAGTGGAATCACTGGGTCAAAAGGCAGCTCCATTTTTAATTTTTTGAGGAACCTCCATACTGTTTTCCATAGTGGCTGCACCAGTCTGCATTCCCACCAGCAGTGTACTAGGGTTCCCCTTTCTCCACACCCTCGCCAGCACATGTCGTTTGTTGATTTGTTGATGGCAGCCATTCTGACAGGTGTGAAGTGATACCTCATTGTGGTTTTAATTTGCATCTCTCTGATGATTAGCGACGTCGAGCATTTTCTCATGTGTCTCTTGGCCATCCGTATGTCCTCTTTGGAGAAGTGTCTATTTAAGTCCTTTGCCCATTTCTTAATTGGGTTGTTTGTCTTCCTCTTGCTGAGTGCTATGAGTTCTTTGTACACTTTGGAAATTAGCCCCTTATCAGATTCATCCTTGGCAAATATGTTTTCCCAGACCGTGGGGTTCCTTTGTATTTTGAGGCTGTTTTCTTTTGCTGTGCAGAAGCTTTTTAGTTTGATGTAGTCCCATATGTTTATTTTTTCTTTTGTTTCTCTTGCCCTAGGAGATGTATCAGTGAAAAGTCCACTACGTGGGATGTCTGTGACTTTACTGCCTATGTTTTCTTCCAGGATTTTTATGGTTTCATGACTTACATTTAAGTCTTTTATCCATTTTGAGTTTATTTTTGTGTATGGTGAAAGTTGGTGGTCTAGTTTCATTTTTTTGCATGTATCTGTCCAATTTTCCCAGCACCACTTATTGAAGAGACTGTCTTTACTCCATTGGATACTCTTGCCTCCTTTGTCAAATATTAACTGACCATAATGGCGTGGGTCTATTTCTGGGGTCTCTGTTCTGTTCCATTGATCTATATGCCTGTTGTTGTACCAATACCAGGCCGTTT